CCATTACAGGAACCTTATTATATACTGCCTTGCTTACTATTTGCATCTCAGTAAAGTGAATGTAAAGAATCACATAGGAAGTTTGCAGTGTTTTGCTCTCACTTTGGTCAATGGCAAGGGTTCTCACCGGTTATCCAGAATCAAGTTACCCAGAATCAAGTCTTGGATCTCAAATAGAAGCACTCATGGCTTGATTTAATATTATAGCTTCATCTTAAGTGAAAACAAAAAGGCAAAACTGAAAAATAGAGTAACAGCATACTATTAGTGTATATTTGACCCATTAGCAAAAATGCATATGGTAGAGACCCTCCCACAGTGGTAGGAGGAGCTGAGAAATGTTTGCAAATTCGTATCTATGATTTCATAGGAACTATTGAAATTGTAAGTCTGAAAAAAAGAGGATCTAAATTATTTTGTGATTCCTTGAATTTTAGCCAAAGAGACATGGAAAAGAAGCATCAGCAGAGAATTACTAGAATTATTATAAGGCAGTTCTTGATTTTTCTGGATAATGTGTTGCATACTGTGCACATGCAGTATATTTTGTGATTGACTGGGACAGTGATATTATCTGAAAAAAATATTTTCAGTGATTTTACACTAACATAGTTAATGGAGATGTCATTAGTTACTTGAGATAGTGTTGAAATGACCATCTAAATCCTGAAATTCAGGTTTTTATTTTTGTAGCACTGTATTTCAAAAGGTGACAAATCTATCCTGAATTGTTCATTTCTGCTGGAAGCAAAGCAGAAAATTCTAGAACTAAGTAATTGCAATGTTTTGATTGATAAACAAAAATTTGTATTTATTAAAAACAGGTGATGTTAGAGATAATTTGGAAAGAAATCTGGGAAAACCCTACTTCAGAAAACTTTTTCATGTGTCTACAAATATTAAGTGACTTGAGCATGAATTGTACATTATTTCATCTTTATTATTCTTTTATTTATTATTTTTGCTATTTAACCAGTCCTTTCTGTCTTCATTTCATTTAGTGAATGAGAAAAAGGTTATTCTGTTGAATCACTTCTTGCAAAGCAGTCTCAGATGGCCCTAGAAAACAACAGATAGTTCACTGAATGCTGTAAATTCCACTGAAGGATTTAGTCTGTTTCTATGTTTTTAAAAGGTGATAAAAAATAACTTACTTTTTAAAATAACTGGTTCCAGCCATCAAATCATAGATTTTGTTTTATCTTTCTCATCAGATACATTAAATGTCACAGTCCCTTTTCTTGGATCTCAAAGGAAGTGCCAGAAAAAAAAGTCACAGGAAGTTTATACTATGAAATTGTTTCTTAACTTTGTAGAAAGCAATGCTTGGCTTGAATATAAACACATTTTACCTACTAGCCGGTCCAACCTCCTTTCAAGCCAGGTTTAGCATGTACTGGATGGAAGGCATATGTTTAACTTTTGTACTAATACTGTGCCTAGACTTATGTAGATGAATTCTAAATGATAAATGTTAAAACTTACAGAACACAAGATTGCCTTGTGCACTGTTATTTCTTTTATGCCATAGACTGGCTACAATTTTTCCATCTTTGCTCCTTCCCTCTGCTTATTAAAATATATTCATGTACTTTTTCATTATTAACAGCAGTGAAAATAGAATGAATTTAATCTCTGGGTCCCTCACAGAGTAATTTGTCTGAGCAGCACTGTGTACTATCTTTCCTGATATTTGTAATTTCTTTCAAAACAAAATCAAACTAAACTCCTTGTCCATTATTGCTGGATTGTATTTTATTTCTCAGTCAGATGAAATACCTAGTCATGCTAGACATTTAGACATGATTAAAGGTTCCAATTTTTCTACTTTGTCATGGGGACATAATAATTTTGTGGGACTATTTCTAGATGTCTCCTAAGCAAGTAAAAGCAAACTGTATGAAATAAATGTACTATCATTATGTCAGTTTGTAACACACTCAGAATGTATTAGGGACATAACTTCAGGATGAATTGTTAAAAAAAACCACATTAAGGAGTGAATTTCGAATTAATCTGTCTCTATCAGTTTCTATAAATGTAATAACTACTCATAATGCACAATCTTGATTGAATACATTTTATGCACATAGCCAGAAAAAAAAATCAATCGTTGTTAAGTGCAATTATGAACTCAAACATCGATCTAAGTTCCAATCACATCTTAGCCTAAAGCTATTTCACTGAATTTCATCAGTTGTGGTATTTTTATTTTACGTATTTCTATGTTTATAGACAATAGGATTCTGTTAAACATATTGCGTAGTATCTGCCTGCAGAGTTAACTAGGCAGTTACCTTAAAACAAATTCAGCCTAGTGTTCAGATTTTGCTTGGGCCAAATGCAAAAAAGAGAAGAGACTTCTCTAGAGCCCAGTTTCATGCAATAACTTTCCTGTCCACAGCCTGCATTCCTAAACTAACAGAGTAGAAGAATTTATTGCTGATAGCATTAAAATCTGGTACAGATAATCAGTTGAGTGGAGTTAAAGAGAACACAGACAGATATGATGTAGCTGATTCACTGGGAACATGCAACTTCTAGGAGGAGATAGTGTTGTAATCAAAATCAGGTTGGCTTCCCAGCATTCACTGGGAGAAACTGGTTTTCGTTGTAAAAGTAAGAATTCTACAGAATATGAATTTTTAGCTGGACATAGTTTGGGTTTGTGGTTGTTTTTTTTCTAAAATCTCTAGTTCTGAAAATCTTCACAGGTTTAATTTAAATTTTTAATTTTATCTTGTAGTCATGGCTTATCTGCAAACATAAGAGTAGGAAAAACAGTTAGTAACACCAGCTCAGCAACATTCATTTTCAGGGATAAGGAGATAATCCCTACTCTGTGAGGTGATAAATTAGTTGATAATTCACTGACTGGAAATTCAAGGAATCAAGAATGACCAGTAGGGAAGACTTTGGGGAAGTTAAATGCTACAACTTACGCACATGGCATAGTAGCTAGTTTGTCTGTCTGTGTTTAGTTTCTTCTTTTTTTTATGCAAGCACAAGGGATTTTATTATAAAGAGAGGAAACTAAGTGGGAAAAAAAACCAATGTTTGTTTCTGTGAATTCAGCTGTTGATTACATGACCAGATGATACAGAAAACTGGCCTGATTTAGTCAACTCCACTGAATGCAGTTTGCTTTCACATGTGATTGCTGTTGTGTTAATCCCGCTCCATTCTAACATGGCTTACTTTTCAAGTCTTGTCTACAACACTTAGGAATATCTACATTCATTCTCATTGTTGGTATAGGCAGGCCATTATAATTTTTCATTTTGTGTTTTCTATTCTGATGAGGCCATGGAGACTATAGAACTAGTAGGAACCATCTTATTGTGGGGCTACTATAATGATGGGTGATGCTTCTAACATTGCCTGTGTAGATGTAGCCAAGACAAAGACAGACAGTTCAGGAATGGGGTCCTTAAAACACGCTAAAAGGTAACTAGTAAATATTTGACTAGGACAAATACTTGGCTGGGAGGAAAAACAGCCGTCTTTCAGTAAAGTAACCTGGTCTAAGATCTCTGCATAGTCATGGGAAAGATTCTTCCACTATAGCTTCAAATGCTGGAATTCTTGATGATGGCATCTTGTCCAAACTAGTTTTGAGCTAACTTGCATTAGCACTGTAAAAGCTTCAAAACAGTTCTAGGCTGATGCTCAAACCAGGAGAAACTTGGTGGCTTTTAGTGGAATTTTCTTCCTAATGTGAAACTCACATTTTCAACACAAAGCTATATAAGTAAAATCCCATTTATTGGGTCAGTATCACAAAGTGCTAGGGTCCAGACTATCTGGGATACATCAATACTTAAGATAAACTGAAGGAAAAGTTCACAGAAATCCCAAGAAAGTCAATTGGCACACCTGTGCTTCCTTACTGTCAAACACCTTTTCCACCTCCTCCTTTTTATTGTTCCATCTTTCTTTGTAGACTTGACTGCTGTTCTTCCCTCTGCTTTTTTTTTTTCTTTTATCTGGTATCTAACAAGTGCAGTATAAATATATGTTGCCACATATGTTGCAGTCTTACTTGTGTTTCTGTCATCATGAACAGTTTGTTTTTTCTGTCTTGGTCTTGCCATCTTTCTGTCTCTTTAGATTCATTCATGGCACCTTGTAATTATCCCTCTCTCTAATTATTGGCTAGTTTAATAGTCTTGCCACACTATACCATTACATGTTTTTCTATAACAGATACTGTTCATCTTTACTAATAGATTTGACATACTACAGTAAGATACAGAATTTATTACACTGTTTATACAAAAGAAAGTAACCTGTTGCAGAACCGTTCCCTACAAATATATCTATATATGAAGAAGGCACCACTAAAGCCTCCGTTCCTCCAGAAAGCCTCTGAATTAACTGAAATCCTTACTAGTGAGATTTTGAGGAACAGGCCCAAAAGGGTCTCCCATGATATCTGCTCCATTCTGCTCCTGCTGCAGGCTACATTTTCATATAATATTATTCAGAAATTTAAAAAGAGTTGTTTTGAAATTAGTTCTTCTTTCAGTATTCTTCTCCCATCCTCCAATAAACCTGCTAGTACACTGATAATTTTTAAAAACAAATGTTGGGAGGTCAGATGTGTATTTTTAGATATAGAAACAAGCCATAGAGTTATACATTTCCAGCACTTCTACCATTTCTTTTCCATCTTGCACTTACGGTTTGCACAGAACACCATCTTTCCATAAACAGATCTTGTATGGAGAAGATAATCCAATAAGGGGAATAAATGTCATGGAATATTGGTTTCATGTAAGTTGAAATATGCGGATAAAATCTGAAATAAACCTTTTTATTTTATGTGTGTCTGGGTTCTGACACTGTCTGTATCCCATGCATTTCATGCATGCTTTTGGGTCTAATAACAATGAAAGCAGGAAGTTTGTGTGATGTCAACATTGCCAGCTAACAACAGTTGTTACTCAAATTGTTTCTCCATTCCAATTCTGAAAAGCTGTTTTTGTCTTTCCTTGCAGTTTTCCACTTGTCCCACAAAGTCACTCGGGTGGTTCCAGAGAGTGCTCTGCTGATTGTTCTTGGTCTTTTCCTTGGTGGTATTGTATGGGCAGCAGATCACATTGCCTCCTTCGCCCTTACACCAACTGTATTTTTCTTCTATCTACTCCCCCCCATTGTTTTGGATGCTGGATATTTTATGCCAAATAGATTGTTCTTTGGAAATCTTGGTTCCATCCTTCTGTATGCTGTCATCGGGACAGTCTGGAATGCTGCCACAACCGGTTTATCTCTCTATGGTGTCTACCGGACAGGAATAATGGGTAAGTAAGTTTGATCTGTTGAAGGCACAATTGTGAATGTTACTGTGTGCCAGCTGTTAGATGGGTGATACTTTATAACTTAACAGCCCTTTTCAGCAGAAAAATCTTATTTTAATGCGAGCAATTTGTAATATTTTTACCAAATTTGAGAATGATCTGAGAAATCTTCTCTGAAGTAAGCACAGAAGGGACTTGAACCTCTATGTCTCATATTTCCCTGCTCTAAGAGTGTATATACACTCTCAGGATAAAGCTCAGGATTCATCCTGCTAATGGACATCTGGACAAAAATACACTTTGAAGGGCTTTTTTCTTTCTCCTGTGATAGAAACCATCAAAGTTACTGTGAAATGGAACTGTCTTCCTTCAGTCAGCTTTAATATTAAGTAAGCAATGGTTGCTGAGTGGGTATGTATGCACGACACATCTCTATTTTGTCTTCTGAGGCTGGAAATTGTAACTGAAGACGTACAGAGCCAGGTAGCACATGTAAAATGCTCTCTGTCTTAATTATATTACAATATAAGGGCAATGGGGCTGCTAGAAGAGGCACAGAACAGCTCCTCAGCAGTCATGGCATGCACATAAGCTATGTACTACCACCTGAAGAACAATAATTCACATTGTATGTGGATTGCATGTGTTTTGAAACAGGCATCCTATCTACACTTTTTTAATGTCTGTACTGAAGAAGCTCAAGAGCCCTTCTAGGACAAAATTCTCTTAGGTTCATGAGTTCTACAAAGTACCTATAAGGGCACACCTGAGTGCTGCTGAGAGCAGTACACATACAGTTTACTGCTGTGCCTGTGCACTCTGCCCATCTTTTCTTGGCAATCAGTGCTGAGATTCTGGACTGAGTGGGTGGCTCCAAGACTGCAAGGGGTATGTTGTGTTGTACGAAAGGCTCAACAGCTAGTCATGGGACTGTTCTCTAACCACAGTGGTGCAAAATTGACTAAGAGCAATTTACCACAGGCTTTCAGGCCATATAAAAAGAGTGTCTCAAATGTCAGAAGTTGCAGATGTTGTGGAGAACATTTTTGTGATGAAGAATTAAACTATTAGCTGATTATTACAGAAGATATCATAGTAGACTTTTTCCAGCCTCAAAAACTGCTCCTGTTGTCCATCACAGGGAAGCAGCAGAATCTGGGGCTGGGTTCTTTGAAACCAAGCATAAGATTGGCATATATGTTACATTAATTTTAAAGGAAACCTGTGCTGTCCACATTTGAAAATCCCAGTCTGGAAGAAATTGTTCATACAAGACTTGCACTATGTAACTGCAGATGTTTGTAATACAGACATCTATGATAGATTTAGCTTACATTTTAGGTATTTACCTTACTATAACCCACATTTTATAAGTAACATTTTTTCTTTAGAAGATTCAAAAGTGACAGCTTAGATGCACACTATTGACTTTTATAGGTGGGCAAGATGTTTAATGTGCTTTCAGCCTGTAGGCACAATAGGCATTCACAATTTCACATTTATAGTTAAATACAGGTTTTCAGGAAGAAAAGAGATGAGAAAGGGATATTGCTATTGCTACAGATTGGACAAGGATTTCTTTCTTTAAATATCCAAGCTGCTTGGCACAATTTAAAAAATATGACAAAAAATATTTTATTAATGTTCTGTTCTGGGAAATATAATAAATGATAATTAATGTTAAAAATATGTTGATCAAAATCATTAAAGGGAAAACATTGACCTCTTTCTGACACGTGAAATGGAAAAGCCAAATGTTTTCCCAAAAATTCTGTTTTAAGTTAAACATCCGTTTATCTATTGCTCTCCTCCCAATCCATAAGCAATTCTTGACTAACTGTAAAAGCTGGATTTGATGGCTACATGTTCTCTTTCACCATTTTGCAAATCTTTCAGTGACAGTATATACTAGAACTCTGAGCTTAGAGCTAAACAACAGGAGAATCAGCCCCTACCACAGGTCACAGCTAAAGCTCTACAAGCTAAAAATAGGGATGTTAATAAAAGCAAACAATAAACTGACATGCCTGGCTAATTTAAATATTTAGAATGAGCCTTAGTTGGTATACTGTGGGGACCTGCCTTTACCACCAAGACATATTATAACTTACGCGAGTTCTAATTTCAGCTATGGAAAAGGTCAGAGAAGTCTGTCCCTGATTAAAACTATGTCATTCTCCAGCAAAGCTAAGCAGGACTTTAAAATATCTACGCGACACATACTTACTAATACACATCGTGTTGACCTCCAAGATGTCAGCAAGATCTGAGCACCGCACTTTGAGAAAAGCCTTGCTGTTGTTACTTACTTGCTGAAGATAGGAGAATGCTGAACTACTCAATTTCTAGAAGAGTTCATAGCAGCTTTTGATTGACTTTCTATGGCATATTTTTGTTCCTACCCCACTTTTTCTGCAACTGGAGTGAATGATACTAAAAGTAACATCACTAAAATGTAGGAATGTATATCCACTACAGACTAAGATGAACTTACTTTTTACTTGCCATATTACTTTCAAATTTACCATCGAATGGGCCTGTAATACTGTCCATCAATATGAGAGTGCATAATCCAAACTGGATTACATAGATTTCCTACATAAATAAACATAAAAGCTGCTCTTTGTTTGCCTTCAATATCCTTACAGATATTATAATTTGCAGAAGAAAGAGAGAGAAATTGATAATAACAAAGAAATCCTTCTTTAGAAGTGAAATTAAAAGATCAGCACCTTAGCTATTAACTAACAAACAGCCATACCAGTCTGCTTTCACAGAATAGGAAGAAGTATATAATCTGGCTGATTGCACCTAACTGTTCACTGTCTTCTGGAGAATTAAGACATGCAGCACTTCTCCATGGAATAACTGTGATTGTGACTAATGCTTAGAAAAGTTCTTTCTGTACAATCTAGGTCATAGTGACAACATGCTGAGTATATGTAGAAGTCCTAAACTGGGCCCAGTGAATTTAACTTGCTCAGGTGTTACTGCTGGCAGCTAGTCACTCCAGACTCTGGTGAGCTGGAGGAAGCAGTGGTCATATAATTAGTCTAAATGAAAGTCTGATTTAGAAACCCCATGCCTCTTTACACTGCTTTGTAGGAATTATAGATGTGTCCTAACCTTTCCATAAATATTTGCTCACTAGCTTTGCAAGTCTTCAAAGAATGTACCAATGATTCTAATTGGTAACATATAAAAAAGATAAGCAATCTTAGTGAGACAATTTATTTTAAAAGCTTATGTTCTATTGTGCCTGATATCTGATAGTTACTGTCATTGGGCTTGTTTCTTCCTTAAAGATGGCAGAGAAGGACAACATTTGATAGATTCAGGTTTAAGGCTGAATTTTTGACAGACTTCAGCTCACTGCTTCAACCCCTCTCTCACACTAAAATGGGTAGATTCAGTCCTTATTCACAACCCAATATGTCCAAGAGTGAACAACACTATTTCTCTTTTTGAAAATATAAAGTAGTTACATGTCAGTGAAAACTATGAATTTCTGTTTTCAGGGCCTTACCAAGGTCCCTATAAACTGTATGGAAAACATTGTAGATGCTCTGATTGGCAGGCAGAAGCTAAGAGAATATGTACCTCTGCAGCTCCCCTAGATTATTGGCCATTGTTGTGTACAACAGGGTGTTGTCTACTCCTGTCTCTGGCTGCCCATGTAAGTGTCCTCTTGAGCAAATATGCCCATGCCATTTTGTATCAAAAATATTTCAACTCTAGTTTCTGTTTCAATTACCTTCTAAGCACTAAACATTCTGCATTTGAAAAATTATCTTGTAAGAGTTCTTGCTAGAGGAGTGGCCATGTTGTTCTGGAAGTACCTTATAGGCAATATTGATTCTTTGGCTACAGCTACTGACTGTCATTGTCTGACTCATGCTTCCAAATCATTTAATCAGATGGATTTCTCCCTTACCTGTAGAAATTGTGCCTGATACCACTGTCTATTAATTTTGTACATGGGCCTCTGCCCTGTGTTCTGATGAATGAACTCTCAACATACTCCTCCTTTGCTCTTCCTCGTATCATTTTGGGCTTCATCACTTCTTAATGAACCTTGCTTCCTCCTCCATCCATTAATGAACACAAAGGGAATTTTCCTGTTCTCTACCCTTTCAAAAACCTGTTCCCCAGAAAAAATGACTGGGATACCACTCTTGATTACATGAAGAGGGTAAATTTTGCAAGATGTTTAGGAAGCTGAGCAAAGCAATCTTTGTGGCTCTTCCTTTTCTGTTACTTTTAAAATTATAATGATGCTTGTTTCAGTCTGTTTCCATAACTGAACAAAATAACAATAACTAAAAGAAGATTAAAAGAAAATTAAATAAATATTGGGTTACTTTGTCACCAGAGTTTTGTAGTTCCAAAACTTTTGAAAACATTGCCAAAATTCCTAAGGGGCTACAACACAAAAATGTTGAGGTACATTTTAGTCCTGCATCTGTTTTCATGGTCCACTTGCAGACAATTTAACATTGGCTTCATGAATCATATTTTGGGAACAAGTGGCTTAACTGCATCTATCAATGAATGTCTACTTGAATAAGGAGGCCGCAAGTGGTGCTTAACTGCACTGGGTGCAGTTAAGCCCCACTGTAGCAGTTATTAGTGACCAAGAGTCATATTTGGCCTGTGGCATGAAGTATTTTGGAATGTTTACTTCAGGAGTACTGGTATATTCCTCTTACCATCTTGTCAGTTCTCAGTTATCCTGGGATAACTTACTCAAGTTAGATAAACCATACCATACACAAATACAAAGCCACTTTAGATCTGGAAATACTTATCTCAAGTTCCTTGCCATAGGAACAAGACTGTACTGCTCCCAGAATCAACTTTGATCCACATGGGCCAATGCTGGATCGAACAAACCTTGTAGGATAGAAAGTGACACAATGCAGAACTTGTTAAATAGTTTCTGTGCCATGCTTTCCAGTTGATGCCTTAGGATCCCTATTTTCAAGGATTTTGCATTATCTGTAATATCACAGTCTGTCATTACTATAGATAATATAGAGCTGACTCTGCTTATACTTTGTTTGCTTTATTTTTGAAGGCCACCTGAATACTGGACTGCTGGACTTCCTCCTGTTTGGCAGCTTAATTGCTGCTGTGGATCCTGTAGCTGTTCTGGCAGTGTTTGAAGAAGTCCATGTCAATGAAGTTCTATTCATCATTGTTTTTGGAGAATCACTTCTGAATGATGCTGTAACTGTGGTAAGTAAAGTATATATCCCAAAGTCACCCCAACTCTAGAGGGTTTCTTCTTAAGTGTATTTTCCCCTTAAATGAAATACTGTGTCATCTGTGTGTATCTACTCATGGGCTAGTGTAGCATAGCTCACGGTGTTCTCTGTCTTGCTTACAAACACCGTATTGCAAAGATTAAATGTTTGAGCATGAAAGCTATTTGGAGCCTGTAAGTCACAGAAAAATATACAGTCCTGGGTTGGGTAAGCATAAAAAAATCTAACATGAAGTTTCAGGTGTGTATGTTTTATTTGCCTTTGTGGTTCTAGTAGGGCTTTTGTGACTTACTGAAATTAGTTCCAAGGATTTAAAGCCTTTCTTTGCTGTTGTTTTTAAATGCACATACTCTTTTCTGCATATTTCCATTATGCCCATAATTTATATGCATACCTCAGATATATAGACAGTGAGAGAGAGAATACTCAACAAAGTGCTTATGCCTCTTCCCTCTCTTTTACTTCAATCAGATGTTTAACAAACAGCTATATAACAAAGAGCCAACTTGGGAAAAATTGTGGGACATTTTAGAAATGTTCTGGTTTGGGTTGGGTTTTTTTGGCAACATGTTAATTTCTGTTTGTTTTTTTTTTTTTCATTTAGAAAGAAAAGGAAAACTTAATAGACTTTAATAGACTTAAAGCAATCCCACATTTCTACTGATGTTTTTATTTTGATAGAAACCCTTTTTCTTTTTGCACAGAATTTTTCTCAGAACAAAACATTCAATAGTTTTGTAGTACAGTGCTAGTGGGCTGGGATCAGAAATCATATGGCATAAAGATGCTATGCAACTGAGTTGCTATAGAGCTTCAATTCATTTCTTGGATTATCTCCTATTCCTGCTTCTGCTGTCTCCAGAGGATGTTAAGACGTATCTACCAGGCTCAGTGACTTAATTTTTTGCAACCAAGGCAGCAAGGCACTGCAAGGTCAATGGCAGCAGCCTGAACCGTTGTTAACATGAGTTTGAAAATGCCATTTAGGAACTCCAGAGAAATCCAATTGCCTTTAGATGTCAGTCTCATTAGTACTTCTGGGGTATTGCCAGGAATAAATATTAAAATAAACCCTCAATGAACTCAAGTATCAATATCACTGGCTTTCAGAAGGAAAGAAGTTTTTGTTACTGTGAAACGAATACAAACACTCTATAAATAAAAGAAAGTTTGATTGATTGTTGAATAAAACCCAGACAAGAAGAGTAAGCATGATCAAGAGTCAGAAAGCACAGCCTATGAGAAAGTTTGAAACAACTTGAAAAAGGAAAGACTAGAGGACAGAAGAAACTGGATGATGTAGCATTCTTTAAATGTAAATACGTAAAAGACTACTGATACAGAACAAAGTAATCTGTACGCCATGACTGGAGTAAGTATGATAAGAATTAACAAGCTTAGCTGCAACAAGGAAAGTTGAGAAAGCTACAGTAAAGTTCTTCTCCATCACTGCAAGAATTAAGAATAGAGTAGACAGGCATGTGTCAAGAATGATGCTCATACAAACCTCCTTAGGCAGGGGTATGGACAAGATGAATTTTTTACTTTCAGCATTATCACTGCTAGTCAATTATTTTAAAAGCTTTAGTACAATCGTTATAGTTTATTCTCTTTTATGTTCAACTTATTTTACATATGTTCAACTAGTATCTTATTATCTTATTAAGTATCTTATTTATCTTATACAGGCAATTAAATAAATCTGCCAAATACCTGGATTTTAGAGTGAGTGTTGCTTTAGAAAATGCATCTAGATGTAAAAATGCTTCTTATATATAGATATCATACCAAAAAATAAGAAAGCTGGTTTTTTTAAATTTCTCTTTCTTCTTTCTTCACTGCATTTTTTCCATTTTGAAAAATTCAACAATCTGCAGAATCTTCTCCCTCCGTGCAGAATTTCCTTCGGTCATACATAATTTCAGAATTTATAATGTTGGGGCCCAAAAGGAGATTTTTTTTAATAGGCTTAATTTGGGAGCAAATATTAAGTTAGTCTACTTTTCTTTTCAGGTGCTCTACAATGTGTTTGAATCTTTTGTTAAAATAGGTCCAGAGAATGTGACGGGGATTGAATGTCTCAAAGGCATAGGTGCGTAGAATTTAATTCTGTATCACATATTTGTTGTACATATGCAGGCTTTTAAACAAAATATTACTATTATGCTATCAGTAACTGTTATTTTTCAGTCCTTTCCCTTGTCACTCATATTCCCACACTCCTGTAGCATACACAAATGTCTTAAGAAAATAAATAAGTGAATATTCCTGAATATTTGGGAAACAATGAGATTATCTGTTTATTAATCTTCTCTTCTGAGAAGACTCAACAGATGTGGAGTTCAGTTGTTAAGAGCACAAAACTTGACAGCTATACATATTTTCTTTGTATTTTATAACAAGTCCTTAGGTTCAGCCCATGCCCTCCATGCATCCCAGGAAAGTCGAGATTGCATATGGGCATTCTCACTCCTTAACACTGATTGCCATCAAGTAACATTTGCTAGTGAATCTCGAGAAATGTTATTTACCTAAAAATTCAGTCATTATTTCCCATTCCAAGCATGACATGATCCTACATTATCTTATGAATCAATATTTTAACAGTGACTTTGGCATATTCTATAATAAGCTTTTGGAAAAGCATTTGTTGACAGAACGTGGGAAAAAAATTGTTGAAAGAAATCTGTGGGTTTTGAATAAGCCTAAAATGGTGAGGCTTAACAGAAAGTAACCTTGTTTTTTCTACAGAATGCTGCATTCACATACCAAGTGCTCAAAAGCAATTAATGTGCATTTTAGAAATATTTTTAATGTGTCCTCCAAAGTTTTTTCTGATTTGCTGGCCATATAATAGAACTAGTTCAAACCATTATATTTCTACTGTTTAAGCTGTGTTTGGTTTTGTTTTTCAGTGTCATTCTTTGTGGTGAGCCTGGGTGGGACACTGGTTGGCATTTTCTTTGCCTTCCTGCTCTTTTTTTCACCAAGCACGTGAGAATCATTGAACCTGGATTTGTGTTTATCATTTCCTACCTGTCCTACCTCACAGCAGAGATGCTTTCTCTTTCCCCTATCCTTGCGTAAGTCCTTTTTTATTACTGCCTGTGAAGGGGCTGAGAAGGCAATATTGTTTTTAAAAACATTGAAAAGAAATACCTAAATTATATAGGACAACTGTAGAATATAACACTCATGAAGCTTATGCTGAATATTACTATCTTCACATTGCAGTAGATTATAGTTTGCAAATACTGTCATACAGCCTTGAAAAGGAACACAATTTTTCCAGTATCTGCTGTGCAACATGACAACTTCCTTTGCAAAACACAGAATCGACTCTTTCTTCTTTGTGATTCATAATACTTTATAACTAACAGTTGTCCATTTGTATTGACATCTTTTTTTTTTTGTAATAAACCTGGTATTTTTCTAAGGCATTATGTGAATGCCCATTATTTGCTGTTCTCACTGTCTTTACTGCTCTGTTAAGGTTTGCCTAAATCTTGCATATTTTGGCTTGAGTACCTCTGTGGTCTTTCTTCTCTTAGTACCTGTTGATTCCTGGCATACTTTTCTTCTCAGTTTTGCTTGTCATGTTTGTAGATGCTACAGTGAGTATAGTCAAGACCTGAAAATCTTACTGTAAACAGATCATTAGTTTAAGATTATGTCTAATGTAAACAAGATTTAAAATTTTGCATGTAAAGCAGTATGGTAATCTGAAGAGAATTAAAGTCTGTTATGATCTAATGAAATGTTTTCTTCAGACTTCTCAGGATCACCCAAAAATGTTTGAGATATGCTTTTCACCTAGATTAGACTCCAGAATGACTATAGTGTGTTTTTTCCTAGGAATTATTGGTGGGGTTTTATCACTATGTGACAGACAGATGGAAATAATATCAAATGTTGCAACAAATATTTTCTGAACAATTGCTTTTTTTTTCCCTAGGATAACTTTCTGTGGCATCTGCTGTCAGAAATATGTCAAGGCTAACATATCTGAACAATCTTCTACAACTGTAAGATATACCATGAAAATGATGGCCAGTGGAGCAGAAACTATTATCTTCATGTTCCTGGGAATTTCAGCTGTAAATCCAGATATCTGGACTTGGAACACAGCTTTTATTCTGCTGACTCTGGTCTTCATCTCAGTATATAGAGTTATTGGTAAGGGGATGATCTTCTTCCTGTCCTTGCATTGTATTGTTGATACAATCACATATTCTTTTGCAAAAAAAAAAAAAAAAAAAAAAAAAAAGCGATTTTGAGTTCTAGACTTGTTTCTTTTAAAATACTAGATTTATTTTAGTTGAACTTGTGATTGGTTTTGGGTTATGAGGGTAGACCTCTACAGCAAGCTTCACGATATGCTGAAAGTATAGTAGGATTTCACTTTTGATGACATGTGAGAATATGACTAACCCAGCAGTTAACATGAATCACCCAGTGGCTAATCCTTGTTGACCCAGCACATGCCATTGGCAAAAATCTCCTGGTGAAACGGACTTTGTTCTTTAACTTCAGCCTAACAAAAGATGTGAGTCCCAGCAGCCATCTCTTTCCTTCAGCTCTTTCAATTTGGTAATAGATTGTCTTAAGCTAATTTTATGGTTGGCTTCAGGTTTGAGACACACAGTGATGTAAGACCATACCTAATTATACCACAGGTTCTCTGGCTTAAGAAATAATTCTGAGGGACTGGTAAAACTGAGTAAATAAGACTGTGTCAGCTAGGGATTACCTACTGTCAATTTACTGGGTTTATATAAGTTTGCAAACATTTCAAAATACCTAAGACCATTTGTCCAACTATATAGGTCTACTATTTAATCACTGTTTTGTGAAATTACAAAGGGGCTAAAATCACAAAAAAGGCATAGAATGAAGTATTTCTAGAGTAATATACATAGTGATTTGGTGTATGTACTTACATCTGGGAATAAATAAAATGGGTTTATTTGCCTGTTTATCTTGAATTAAATTAAAATAAAAGGTAACACATCTATCTAGCTGTCAGTTTTCCTAGACTCTGTATTCTTATTCTGTCTAGAGATTCCTGGGCTGAATGAAGGGACTAACCCCATGTTCTCCTTTCTAAAAAGTCTGTAACCATTGTTCATTTCGTGACCTCTCAGTAACCACTGATGTGCGTGAAGTGTTTAAACAAGTTTTCAGTATCTTGGCTTTGTTATTTGTTGTATTCCTGGAATGAGTGATTAACAATCCTGTAATAAGTGTGATCAATAATTAAGTAGTAAATATTCGGCAATAACAATATGCATCCATTAAAGTAATTGAGCTTTGACATCGATAAATTACTGAAGACCTGATGCTATTGGGCCTTATGTAATTGCAGCTCTCATACCCTTGGAGGAGTCAGATTGATGGCATGAATTAATTTTCAAGGTCCCCTCCACTAGAGGCCTTCCTTACAGTTGTACACAGAAGATATTCTTCCCTTAGCACAAGTTCAAAGTTCTCTAAAAAGAGAAATATCTCTTTTGCACCTGTTAACAGTTGTGTCCTGCTGCAAGTAGGACACACATGCTGTGACACTCTCAGAACTGGTGAACCTGTTTTCCTTCTGTACAGTGGGAGCTCTGGGAGACATGATTTATACAGCTTTAGGTCTCCTACAGCAGGCAGCATCTCACCTGTAGGCTTGAAGATGGCGTTAGCATAACTACACAACCCTCCGCAAGACAATGACATAAATGTAATTTTTCATAATTTGTAAAGAGTACCACACTTACTCCCTAAATCAATGCTGTTTCAACCCATTTCTCTATCATCTGTTAAAAGACCCTGTGGGTATGACTGACTATGGTGCTAGAAATTCTATTCTTTCTTATCTGCGAATTTCAAAGGTCAGCACATAGCAGAATTTCACCTGTAGTGCCTATGCCAGAGGGCAGCATTTTCAGAAGAGCTGCTGGCTCACAGAAGCAGCTTCATCTAATTCCTTTGGCTAAACATAAAGGGGATGGTACCAAGTGCGCCTGCTGTCCTTGGCAGTGTAGCAATACAGAGGAAGTAGATTGTGTAGAGAATTCATTATGAAAGCAGGCTGGTAGTACTGTTACACACAGTTGGGACATTGACATTTCATAAATGTATCTCTAGACATGCTGGTATTTGTTTCTTTATAGGCGTAGTTTTACAGACATGGATTCTTAACCACTACAGAATGGTCCAGTTGGAGATAATAGACCAGGTGGTGATGTCATATGGTGGACTACGTGGAGCAGTTGCTTTTGCTCTGGTGGTACTTCTGGATGTGGACAAAGTGAAAGAGAGAAACCTGTTTGTCAGCACAACTATCATTGTTGTGTTTTTTACTGTTATTTTCCAGGTAATTCAACTTCTTAAACATGCTTCTTGCATGGAGAAGGAGTCTCCCAAAAGTACCAAATGCTTAAAGAAGTTCTCAGCTGAAGGTTGCATATTGTTTCACTGAACTGAAAGCATAATTGAATTGTAATTTTAGTAACAGAGATCCTATTTTATGTTTTCATATGGCACCACAAGGGATAAAACACAATTTCCTCTGTGCTAAAAAATGTTCAGCCTTAGCTGCTTGGTATTAATAGTTCTCAAGTTAGTATCTGATTAAACATCCTTCACCTTATGTGAGTAACTATAGAGAACAGTCCTTTTTATGGGCAAATACAGTTATTAAGCTGATCTACTTGAGCCTAAGTCCCTGCTTCAAAATAGACTAGTAAGCAGTGGGACGAGAAAGTATTTAGCATCCAAAAAAATAGCACTTTCTGGATGAAAAAAACATTAATTCAAATGGAGATATATCAATATATGCCAGCTTGTAATTTTTTCAAATTTTTATAGAAAGCTTAACTGTGGTCACAGACTCCTGATATGTGCAGAAAATACCACATTCAATTGTATAGGAAACACTTTAACCCTTCCACTACCATATTTTTCTTATAGAATATATATTGTTCCACTGGCTGGTGTCTTTTCAAGCTTTTGTAACACGAGCTGAGTACTGCATTATTTTATGTTCTAAAGGGGACAGAGATCAACGGGCGAAGTATGAGAACCACCATATAACATACAAAAATACTCTATTTCTCTTTAACAATGACCAGCTGGAGGAAAACCTAAGATAATTCCTAAGTATTTATTATCATGTTTCAATCCTTAGGGACTGACTATCAAGCCTTTGGTACAGTGGCTGAAAGTGAAGAAAACTGAACACAGAGAGCCAAAACTGAACGAGAAACTTCATGGCAGAGTAAGATATTTTTAAACAAAACTATGGTATCTTTTGGATTTTTACAGAGTGCCTTAAGAGAAAAAAAAAAAATCTTTTTGGAAGGGAGAGGAAAATCAAATTTCAAGTGCAAAATCCTTCAAACACTTCAAAAGTTATCTGTAGGCTGTAATTTGTCTTTTGGTTGAGTCCTGTGAAGGGATACTCAATTGAAGGTTCTGGTCTTTCACTTGAGAATTCAGTGAGGCTGAAAGTACTGGGGAAACAGCACGGCTGGAATATGTTTCTTTCTCTACATCTAAAAGGGGAGGACATTTGATTGAAGATGACTAGGGCAAAGAACATGGAAGTAAGTTTATTTTTCCTTCTTAAATACTGTTTATTTATGGAAAAGATGAAAGCAGACTTTGTAGCTTGCATTTTACATAGAAAGGTGGTCTGCTGCCCAGTGCAGATGTTAATTATGTACTGAAATTCCAGATTAATGGTAATAGTTCTAGTTCAGTGTGAATGCTGTATGTGCCTTCATTTCTTTAACCTTTTAAAATATTTTGAAACATGATCTCTTCCAATTCACTTTCACACAATATTATAAAGTTTTTATCCAGTAAAAAAACCCATGCATTTTCAGTACAAATATAGGTTAAAGGATGGAAGACTATAAGACATCTTTCATAGCCTTCTTTAATTCATAGACTCTACAGATTTACACAGCTATCCTGCATCGAGTATTTTAACACATTCTTGTATGAGCTTCTAGTCTTGTCTGTTCTTACATTGGAGGTTACCTGAAGTGAATTAACAACTTAGTAGTGGACAGGGTTTGTTTCTGAGGAATTCTTTTACAGACTACTGAATTATGCTTTTGTTATTCAGCAATTCAAATTTCCATTGCCCTTCAAATATTTTACTATTTGAAAATCAGTTGCTGCTTCTGTGAAGAAATACAGTCTGTCTACATTTATGTTATATACCAGTTGGTAGCACAGGCCGAGCAGTAGTGTTAATCCTAACACTTTGTAAAGTTATATATATTGATTTACCACTTCCTAGAATAGTCCAGCAGATATTGTCTCAGGAGGCACAGTGCTCCTAGATCTATATAAATTGCAGCCTTTAGAGAGAGGGAGCGCTGTCTGTTCTCAGGGAGTAGGAGGGAGACAACCTTTTTATAGTATCATTTTATCCACTTCCACGTCTGATATCTCCTGAGGCAGTAACTAATATTATATTCAGGAATAATCCATATCACCCATGTTGTTTTAAACCTAGCATGCTGTATATTCTGGAGTAATCACTCCAATATTAAGAGTGAAATGTTAAAAAACATATACACAAAAAGACCAAATTCTACCCGCAGCTGCCTTGGTTTGAATCAAGAGTTATAAACCTCATGATTTCTATCAGCCATGTAGTATACCCAGTACGGGATTTTGCCCTAGATATTAAAAGTATGGTGCCTACTTCTACTCTGAGGGAAGTATGGGTTCTTGAAACATCTAAAAAGAAACACTAGGATTTAATCATTGACACTAATAGTGGCTGATACACTTCATAGGCCAGAAATGGAGATGGTAAAATGAGTCAATAAAAAGTCTTAAAATCTAGTATTAAAATGGGGGTTTAAATACCTTCTTGCTGAGACCCTTGTAATTCAAGAATAGTCAGTGAATTTGTAAAGAAGTGGTTAGAAAGCTCAGGAGCTTTGAAGAAAAGCATATAGTAGTTAGTATTTCTGTAAATGGGGAAAAAAATCTGCTTAGCAGCAATAAAATTATTCTGTATAGTCACCTGGTCTAACCTGACATAAACTGAGATATTTTCTAATTATGGCTTTTATTTCTGTAAATGTATTAATTCCACTTTCACTTTCCTAGGCCTTTGATCACATTCTTTCTGCTATAGAAGACATTTCTGGACAAATAGGACATAATTATCTGAGAGACAAGTAAGTAGTAATTAACTTGGAATGTTGAAATCCTCCTAGGAAATCTTATCTGTAAATTGTGGCTTTTTAAGCCTGCGAGTTTAGGGACAGCAAGGATGTCAAATGTAGTTGAAAAGATTATGTACTGAAAATACTGGAAATACAGCAAATATGGAAATAGTTTATTTTTGTCCCCTACAACTGGAATCTTTTCTTTTTCTTCCACAGTTCAGATTAGGCCTTTGCAAATGCCCCAGTTCATATCCAGGGATCAGCTTCTCTCAAGATTTGAGAACTGGTCATTTGCTCAAGATTTAACCTAAAACGTTAATGTTGGTCCTTCTCTGTAATACTACATCTCATGAACATTTTTTATGTGTGGAGACACCAAAAAACCCTCAACCATGACTATGCTAGTTGTTTATACTATTTCTACAAAGGATGTGTTCAACACCTCTGAAAGCAATGCTTTGAAATTACTTGCATAGTTTAAGCCTATTAGTTTGAAACCAATACAGAAAATTACAGATCATTTTCATCCCCCTCTGTTTCTAGTTGATTCATCTTGAGCCAAGCAAAATTACTCAGCTGAAAGATACAGACACCATTTTCTTTAAAGTATATGTGAAGAGTTGCCATTGTGATGGGCAGACATCCATACTCTAGATGAATAAATGTGAAAAAAGGACGTTAAATCTGGACATCTTTGAGTGTTATTTAAGGTTAGGCAGTTCTCTCCCTGGAGTTAGGTCATTTCATAGGTGCAGACAGGCACAGTTCTGACCTTCTAATGTCCTGCTGATTCAACACATGAATTCCAATCCAAAAGCTATGTGGTTGTGTTAGCTTCCTGCAGAGCACTCTCCTAACCCTTGCTGAGAAGCTGAGTGTATTATTAGTTTAGGTTCAGCATTATGCTCATATAACTATGCAAATCCTTGGCTGGAGCTAGATTGTATCTGAGCTCAAGAAGAATTGCTCACCTGTCTGTACCCAGTTACAGGGACAGTCTCCTTCATTTCTTGTTGCTCTTTGTTCGTTTATGCAGTGAAGAATTTTCATGAGGCATCCCAAATAGAACATCCTCTTCCTTTTGGTCTAAATTTTCAGTTTACTTTTTGGGAATGATTTTAAGCAGGCTATAATACAGGTAAATACATCCCCAGTTTTGAAATACTATCCTGAAGATGGAGCTAAATATTTTTAAAGTGGCAGATTAGAGTTTCACTTCTTAGATGTCAGAAAGTAATCTCCCTGAGTAACAAGAGGAGTAGCTTAATGCAGATCCATGGTTGAGTGTGTGGTTTGATGAGTGATGTATTTTGAATGAGACCACCTTAAGTCTGCTTCTTTTGGACTATATGTACATGAAAGTGCTCTTCCCTCAAAAAAAAATGGCAGCCCCTAGCATTATAACCAATGTGCTCAGCTGTGGCAGCCTGAATTAGAGACTGCTTACCAGATGTTCTAGCTAGAGAAGAGGAATAGTTATCAATTCTGTGAATAATGTTTAACAACAAAAAGGTTTCAACAATCTGAATAAAAAGCCATAAACTCAAAATACTCAACTTGGGCAAGATGGACACTTTGAAGATACTTTGAATAGTATTCTCCAAAGTTGCTTCATGCCCTTTAAAGAAAATCTTGAGGAAGGTAGATGAAAATAAAGCAGCCTTTCTCTTCTGGAGCCTAAATATGAAACGGCAGATATCCTACTATCAGACAAGCTTGGAAGTGTAAATCACAGAAAATACATATCACTTCTATTCCCCAGAGAACATCAATGGCATGAATAAGGCCCTCTGCAAGTGCTTTTAGAAGGGCTCTGTTGTTTTGAACTTATTTTCTAGGCTGGTTGTCCTACAATACAGCTGGGGAAAAGCAGATTCCCTGCCAAAGGAAGAAAGAAAATTAAACTTTTAGAATGAAGCTGTTAAATACAACAATGCATAATCAGAAGTGAAAAAATAAGGTAGTGTGATCTCCCAGAGTAAAAAATGCCCTAGTGACTCTGAAATGGGATACTGTAATCATAGCACCCTTGCTGTTGTAGTAATGTTTTGTTAAGTGAACCTATTAAATGCTTTGTGACAGCTGCTAACTCTGTAGTAGGCTTTTCTTTAACTTTCTTTAAATGCTAATTGAAAAGCTTGAAAACAAAATTCCCTCACATTGCTATGTTCACGATTATTTTAAAGTGCTTAGCTCAAAAAATATAATTTATGCTAAACTAAAAATGCTGTGAAACTAAAATTGCTTGTTGCCATTAACACAGTTTGTTTAAATTATCAGGTGGTCCAATTTTGATAGGAAATTCCTCAGTAAAGTACTGATGAGAAGGTCTGCTCAAAAATCAAGAGACCAGATCCTTAATGTTTTCCATGAACTCAACTTGAAGGATGCAATTAGCTATGTGGCTGAGGTACTTATGAACATATTATAGCATCGTTTGGGTTTTGGTCATTTTTTAATTTGTAATATAACCTAAAGTTGATATATTACAGGAGATGTTTAGAAGAAAATTATTTTCATTTCTGTTCTGCTTGTCCTAAATTTGTTTTGAGTCTCAACATCACCTGTTTGAGTAGCTGTTATTCTCAGTATTATGCCTGATCCCCAAGTATGAGTATATTATACTTATGTTAGTGTACTCTTCTGTTAGATTTTACTGAATAACTTTGTTTCTATATTCATTGCATGAAAAAGTACTGTAATTCCAAAGGGATCAGGCATGCTGCTGTCTTTCTAAATGCGTCAGCAGAGTCTGACTCCTGCAGAACAATGGTTCTATGTGATGACAAATCTGATTTGAAGAAGCTCACTTCCAAATGATGTGGTTATATGATCAAAGTAGTGGACTGCTATAATCTCATTCTGCCAGATCACAGTAGTACAAAAAGATTGGGAAGGGTAACTCTAATTCAATGGAATCAAAAGAACCACACTTCAAAAATTAGGGTTAAAGTGACATACTACAGATACTAAATGCAATCACAGAATTGTGAACTTAGGGAGACTTAAGACATGTAACAGGAGAAATTTTTAAAGTTAAGGAATTGAAGAAAGTTACTGGCCTTCTGCAGGAGTACATTCCCACTTCTGCAGGTGTACCATTCCCAAACTGTAGCAATGTTAACAGATTGTGTAAGAATTCCTAATTTTCTTCAGTATGAAACTGGCCACCTTAGTTCAAATCACCACAAATGTGCAGTATTCATACAGCATAGAGGATAATTTTATATGGAGTATTTTAAACAGTGATCTTTGAAGTGATAATGGCTGCCCATAATCTCCAAATGAACTCATTTTAACAGCTAGGTGATATACCAGTTAATTTCTTTAATTAAAATAAACACTATTACTATGACTGATACTACTACTACTACTAATCTTTTATTTTTTTGAAAATGAGCTACAGCCAGGCAGACTTCTTCCAGTGAAATATAGAATTTCAAACATCAAATTCAGAAAATAAGATGAAATTCAGAAATTATGTTAGTGTGAAAAATGGGGAGTGGTTCACAAGATTAGCAAATACTTCCTTTTGAGATTTTGTAAATTACCCATTCGGTTTTCAGACCATCTGAGATTAAGAACTGATTTTCTTTGTCATTGTGCTTTCTGGGTCACACCTGAGAGGAAGAAAGTTAGATAATGACTTTGATGTTGATGAGCATGAGATTCATGTTCAGATTCGCTGCTGAATCAGTTCAGTAGATTCATTACAGAATTTAACAGATGCAAAGTGCTCTGTAGATCACTAAGCCATGCAGATTTAGCCCCAGAATCTTTACCTATTAATGTCTTGAATCCTATATAGTAATGTCAGATTAAGTTAGATGATTATTTTTTTAGGAGAGTTACCTTTTTCATTATACCTTAGTACAGTTCATAACACAAGGAAACTGACTTTTGCTACCCTAGTCCAAATACTATTTGTGTATATTGTGTCTTGCAGACAAATTCTATTGGCAAATGCCTACTGATCTGATAATAATAGACAAAGAAATTAAAAGTTCTCTATGTTCTACAAAAGATTTGCAACATAGTTTCTTCCCCTGGAAATCAGTTATGTTAATATTCCTGATTAGTTATGAATTGTGAATCCTAAAGTCATTCCACCTTTCTCACGTTATTATTTGTTTCAGTGATGCCCTGCTTTTCTTTGACTTCTGAAATATATCTTTGAGCTAAATATCTGTGAATTACAAACTGACATTGAATTTGAAGCCATTTCTTCCTGGAGGAGTAAAGATCTGTCTCCTCCAGCTACTCACTTGCAAGAAACTGATGCATTTAAAAACTATTTTATAAATTTTCCTTTTTCCAGCTCTGCTGTTATGCTGCATCTGTACAATACACAAGACCTTAAGAGAGTTCAGTCTGAACCTAAATAAATTCCTTACAGTTGAGAGGGGAGAGCCTAAGCCAGGCAAAATGAAAATAATCCAGAGCAAATTAATAGAAGCAACTTAAAATACTTACAGTTCATAACTTCTTCTGGCTAAAATTCCTCCACTGATGATGTGGTACGATGTATGTATGAAACATTAAACTTGATTTGAAAAGTAAGTCAGATGCACTTAAGAAAATGGATGGGATGATGCTGACCCAGAATTTACTTTTGTTTCTCTTAAGTTTTCTGCCTACAGAGGCCAAAGTGTACTTCTTAATGTCACTGATCTGATCCAACACATACTACTGTAACATGTATGTGGGCTACAACAATAAAAGGAAACATTTGTTTGATTTGCTCTATGAATATAGAAATGTAAAGGGGCCACAATACAGTTAAAGTTGGAAAACGGTAGATAAAATACCTTTCAATATTCTGCAAGGGAGGTGGGTTTTTTTGGTGTATTCTTTATTACAGTTTAAAATGTAGAGACCTGCTATGTGATTTCTTTCTGCTGTGATTCAAAACCATAAATGGGTTCAGCCTGTGTAACCATGATGTCACTCAACAGCTACCTAATCAAGAGATTACACAAGCAGTAGGGAAAACTGAAGACATAAATCTGAGCTTTTCCAGCAATTCACTTCTGTAACACTAATTTTAGAACTGAAAGCAAATCTTACCTCTTCAGTATCTCATCTCTTCATGCCATAACTGCTTTCCAATAGTCTTGTAGACTTCTACCACTACTTAAGATTTTCTGCTTCCAGTCTGGTAGAGGACAGAAAACTTAGTGCTGTATCTTTGAAAACACTACTGTTAGCGCAGCGATGTGCTGAGTCATAAAAATCTGCATAGATATCCCTATGAACTTGGTTTGCAATGTGGTACAAAGTAAAAAGTCCGTGCCTGAAAGGGTCTGTGAAGAGAAAAGGGTTAGACTGCAGAAGTGCAAGGATATAATTTGCAAACATTGAGGCCTAAGAAATCATTAACATCCTCAAAATCAATTTACAAGAATGGAATAGTTGCTCTACTAGCTTTGTTCATTGGGATAATGTCACTCAGTGTAAAGAAACCATAAAACCAAAAAATAGTTTGTATTCATTACCTAAAATATACAACGTCTCCCCTGCTTGTTCTGCCATTTGCATACAGCAGCCTCACAAATTATCTGCATTTTCTGATACACATTTTGCCCTAGGTGTTTACAGCTGTTAATATGTCTTGTTTCTTTCTGTGGCCAGGGAGAACGTAGAGGTTCCTTGGCATTTATACGTTCTCCAAGTACAGACAACATGGTAAATGTGGATTTCAGCACCCCACGCCCAAGTACCGTGGAAAGCTCTGTCTCTTATTTACTGTAAGTAATGTGGACTGATCAGGGGGAGAGGGAGAGTGAGGTTGTGGGGTTTTTTTATATGTGAAGAAATGGAAGCAGTGTTATAAATTTTGAAAAATGCAAATCAATGGCTTCAATCACTACTTTTTTGATCTTCAGTTAATCTTTTTTCTCCCACATAAAATGGGTGTATGTACAGTTATACTGTTGCATTTTATACATAAACAAATTTTGGCAGTAAAGGCAGATAAGATGAAGCAGGCATCCACATTAGAGTTGTTTCATGTTCCTTTTGTTCACCAACTGCTATAGACAGGGCTAGATGTGTCATTTCTGTGTCTGCTCCAGGAGGAGCATCTCTCCATCAGGAGAGAGGCAAGAAAAAAAAATTGCTCCTTCCTTAACTTTTTCATGATTCTTTCACCGAACAGACTGTGTGTCATGTAAACTGTGAAATTAATGCTACACCCACCTGAAAGACAAAAATCAAAATCTTTTCACATTCTCCATTAGATATTTGTTCACTCATTTTCATTTAGCTGATTTTGACCTTTCCTTTTTTTTGTTAAACTTAATTTCTCCCCCTTGTTCTACATTTTCCTGTTTTTACTTCCTCTTCAGGAATTACTCATTTCTGAGACTGTTATTTACATACTGTATTCTTCTTCAGGAGAGAAAAAGCTGGACCAGTCTGCTTGGACATGCAAGCTTTAGAGCAGAGGAGGAAAAGTATCCGGGACACAGAAGACACAGTCGCTCATCACACCCTACAACAGTACCTGTACAAACCCCGGCAGGAGGTGAGAGCAGAAGCCTAGCATTGGACTGTTTTCCAATCCAAATCTAGGAGACATTAGGAATGAAAACTTGAGAGCAAAACTCAAAAGGAAAGAACCCATCTGTAAAATCTGCACCCTTGAGGAAGATAGGCTTATATTCTTTCTCTGTCTATATTCTTTCTCATTTATGAACATGCCTCTTTAACAGAACTAGTGCCTTTGATTTCACTGGGACCAGTGGAATGCAGAACTGGGTCCAATATACGTTCTGAAGCAGGATTAAATGGAGTGTATCAACTGAAGTGATTCGGACACTTACAGGAAGAGGCTTCCTTTGAATGACAGTCACTCTTACATCCTTAAGATTCCTGGACTTACACTTGGTTCATGGTGAAGAAAGAGAAAGAAAAAAAGGAGTTTCATTAATGCCTTCAGACTAGTTAATTTTTTTTTATGGAGTTGTTTACATTTGCATGACATTGATTGAATGCATTGATTCAGGGCTTCCAGCTGAATTTCTAAATAAATTAATTTTGTCTTCCCTTCCTGGCAACAGCACAAACACCTGTACAGTCGACATGAGATCATGTACAGTGAAGATGAGAAACAAGACAAGGAGATTTTCCATAGGACAATGAGGAAGCGCTTAGAATCTTTCAAGAGTACCAAACTAGGAATAAACCATTCCAAGAAGCTCAATAAAATCCACAAGCGAGACCGGGGCCAAAAAAGGGTAAAATACTTTCCCAAGGATCCAGATGTAGCCACACAAACTAAAGGGTGGGGAGGGCAGGGAGGACTCTGAAGGGTCCTATGTCCTCCATTTATCTCTGTCCTATCAAACTTCATGAACTTAAAGGGCCTAAGCAGGAAGAGATTAAACTATGAGATAACTCAAGGGGCATCCTCTCACATGCTGCTTTTCTCTATGCTTTGGGACCCTTCTTCTGGGTGAGGTATTTTTGATCACTTGAAAAACAGACCTTGAGCCATGCTAGAACACTGTGGGGAGATGTTGCAGGGTAGGTGTAGCAGGGTAGCACCATAGATTAAAGTGTTACACAAAATTTGCATGAAACTAAGAGGGAACATACAGCATACAAAAAGCCAAAGTTCCTTTCTTTTCCTGTAGTGAGTGTAGGGGGGAAACTAATGACATCCATATTGAGTCTCAAGCAAAGATTACAACAGATTTCAGGGTTATGCTGCTGAACTCATGATTTCAAAGGATGTCACTGCCATTTCTATCTGATGATGTTAGCATTTTTGGTAACTTTATTTGGTTTCTTTCAGCGGAACAGCAATGTCCTACCAAATGGAATAATACCTTCAGAAAATCCAGTACAAGATTTTACTTTGAAGGAAAAAGGTAAAAAGACTCTTAGACCAGTTTCATTAACTGCATTTTACCAGCTACATTGTCAGTAAAGCAGCACTGAAAAATTTTGTGATATGCAACAGTGAATGTGATATTAGAAAGGGACTTCTAGTCATAATTCGGAATTTAGAGTGGGGATCTGCTCCATGCTTAAACGCAGTGTCTCGATGATTTAGAAGTTGTTCTTCTAGGCAGCTGGATGACAACCCAAATTTTAATTGGCCTTTTTACTCACATTTTTAAAATACCACATTTAAATTTGAAAACCAAACAATGCAGTGGCTATGATATTGATGAACTTTCAGCTTCCTTTTGGATAAGCCACACAGAGCAACTTTTGCTAACATTTCTCTTTTTCAGC